GATTAAGCTCCTGGACATTAATATGACTTGGGAATTCAAGCTTGAAAGCTATAATATTAGGAGGTAAACCTTTAACCTTCCAAAGATTTGAGGCAACTAAGAGAACTTTATTTTAGGTAGTTATTTATTAATTGTAATATGAGGTGAATTATGTGTTAAACATGCAAATTATAATTTGTGAATGTTGTAACATATAATGAAATTTTTAATTATATAATTGCTTTTATATGTATGAAAATGTGAAAAATGCTTGTGAAATGATTGGCAATATTATAATGTGGTTTGGTGAGTAATCGATAAGAGATAGATGATATAAATATATGAGATTGAAAATGATAGGTTTTATATGAGATAAGTGAAAATAAGAATTGATACTCACTTTGGTAGTGCTTGTTGTGAGCCCAACATGTTGACTTTAATATTACATAAATGAAATGTGAAAATGAGTGAGTATCACATATGGCATTATCAGTAGGCGAGAGTTCACTTAGGGATTGAAAGTAAAGAAAAATTCATATGGTATTTTAGTTGCTCTCTAGTGCACGAGGGTATAGCCTTGTCTTACAGTTCGTTAAATGATTGTCTAATAGTTTGTTGAGAGATTAGAATGTAGCTCTCTCCACCAGTTCAATAAGGAGAATGGCTTAGGGTATGAGACACCCTTAAAATTCAAAAGTGAGGAAAATCGTGGTCCAAGAGTGAGTCATATTATCTTTGGCTGGGTCACACCTCACGATTGGTGAGCTTGGATAGTCTAGTCACATGAACAGAACCATATTCAGTGTTATAGCACATGATTTTAATATGAAAAAATAAAGAACGTATAAGATTGGTTGATTATTACTTATGTAAACTTATGACGTGTCGCATAATTGTAATGTGGTAAGTCACGTTGTTAATGGGTCATGGTCATACATTAAATCTACTGTGAGAATGCACCTAGTATATATGAAATGAAAATGAGTCAAATGTGAAATGATAAGTCTTTAATGTGTATACAAGCATGTTTTAAGAATTGGGTTTGATATGCATGTTTTTATTTACAATTGATATATAATTATATAGGGTAGGTTTTACTTTAGTTATTGGGTGGCTAGACCCCTCTTCTTTAACATTTTCAGGCTCTAACTCTAGTTTTGAGAAGGACAAAGCTATTGAGGTTTAGGAATTTGTGTATTCCTTTAGTATGGCTCTTATATCTATTTCTTTTGTGTAATAGATTATGATCGCCAATTTTAGATAGCATATTGTATACTTGCATTATTTTGTTATTGTAAATGTCTGAATTGTATGTTAGGCCTGAGTATTTGTATGTGGATATATATATATATATATATTGATAGGATCAAAATACTATTGTAAGTATAAAAATGATATTATGAATATATTTTAATTGGTTTGGATGCAATGTAATGAAAATTACCTCCCCCTTCTATTTTTAGTGAAAAGGGGTTGAGGAGTGATTTTTTGTTATATAGATATTTAAGTACATGTGGCATGTTGTATTGATAGTCCTAGGTCCAATGAACTTGGTCCAAGTGTTAGGAATAGCTATTGGCAAATATTATGATTTTTAGACACCTCTTTTATGTGTAAAAGTTATAAAAAGTGATAGAATATGTTTGGGTATCCAACTTTTTGGTGTGACTTGTTTTAGAAGTGAAACTTGTGCCATTAGCTAGTTCATGAGAAGAGCTTCCCATGAACACCTAGATCATGTTATTCAGATATCGGATGAAGAATCGAGACACGTTGGAAGTTTTCTTGATTCTATTATCAATCTACTGTCATTCACATGCAACACACCACGGCATATAGCACAAAGAGCAACACGCCATGGAACAGCATGCACAAGTCACGGCGTATTGCCCTGTCTCACAATAAACATGTTTTTTTTAACTAATTTTAATTTCTTTCATTTTTTTCAAGATATTTCATGCTTCCATAACTCGTTTATACTTTGATATAATAGATTATGATTGATTTAAACTCATTTTGACTATGAAAACTTAAAATCTCTTATTTTAAAAATTAAAACTTAGTAATCTTCTTAAAGGCTTAATCCCTTAATTACCATGAATTGATTAGTTAATTGTGTTTGGTAGAACGAGATGTTACACCCTTGACCTCATAAGAGGCTTAGCAAAGGGATAGAAGAATCTAAAAAATGAGAACCCAAGAGGGCTTACAATGATCAATTTAAAGTGTCATATAACTCTTAATGATTTACTGTTGATCTTTATTTAACGTTTTATTCTTGTTGATGGTGGCAATTGACTGAAATACCATGCAAGTGTTTTTGTAACTCACTTTCAAATTTTGATGAAATTTCTAACACATTCCTAATATTTTATTTTGTATATTTTAAGCACATTGTTAGTTGCATTTACACTAATCGATTAAATCCCAGTGATCATGTGGATTCAACACTTAGTCTTCAAGCTTATATGGATTGTTATGCCTTTGTGATCAGCCGATCAATGGAAAAGATTTATGGGAGCATACAAACTTAGAACCAATTCATCCCCTAAAATACCACAAGCACCTTGGCAGACCAAAAAAGAAATGAAAAAAGAGAGCGTGATGAACTACCCTTACCAAACAAAGTTAGAAGATACAATACACGCTTCAAGTGTAAGATTTGCGGGAAATTTGAACATAACCGAAGAACTTGTCCCCAACCTATCAAGCAAAGTTTAAATGCATGCACATAAGAATCTACTCAAGTCACACCACCCCCAAGCAATTAACCTGGATGTAGTTAACATTAATGTTGTTATTTCATGCTTTAGGTTTCAAAAAATTACTTTTGGTATCTTATTTTGCTTTGATGGTGTATTTTAGATATGGCTTAACATGCTAATTATGCACTGTATGGTTGCTTTTGGATCTGGTTTAAAATACCAAGTGTATTGCATGGATGATGTTATAAGTATCTGCAATTAATTAACAAGTAAATGTATAGACTAATTTTTTCCTTATTACTTTAGACCTTTGAGAAGTTAAAAGTTTTACCCTTCAATAATAAGTATTTTCAAAGTTATTCCCAAGCTTGAATGGTATCGATAGGTGGTTAATCTATAATTAATCACACTCAACAATTATTAATACCTTCATTAATGAAATTTCAACCCTTTACTTAATACTTCCACTACTCAAGATCCCAATCTCTAACATTTAAGTATAGCCATTATGTTTATTAACATCCTTTAGCTCATATTAGCTTTATTAAACTCTTTCTTCAACATTAGTGGCATTGAAACTCTTCCAACTATCTCCATTAATGCCTTTTTCAGCCTTAAATATCTCCCAACAACCAAAGACACTTCAATTCACCAACCTATAATTTAAATAATTTAAACAACTCCTATTAACTTTATTTAAGTTAATGGGTTTGGATTTATAACCTCTAAAGTCCGAAAATCAATTATCATGTGCAAACCCTAACTTAAAAGCTTGAGAAAATGGAAGAGGAAGAAGGAGAAGGCTTAGGAAACTTACCTTAGAGGTTAGAAAGCTCCAAAACACCCTAAAACCTTTAAGAATGCAGGTCCTCGTAGAGCTCCTTAGTTCCTCATCTCCCTCTCACTCAACTCTATATTTTTTTTTATAATTTTTCAAGCTGCAAAACACTCTTATTTATGTTAAAATTTGACCATGTACTGCTGTGCACATCACACACCATGCAGCATGTGATATAGAGAGCAATTCCTTCAAATTGTGAACCATGTGTTGTGGTGGATATTGCATGTACCAAGTCACATGCTACAAAGGTATGCCTTCTATTTCTTCCCCCCTTCAGGGCTTATATGGCCCAATGCCGCTCTGAACCCAATCTTTAGGTTGCAATCACAACCCAATAGGGTCATTAGTGCTCTCTAACCATCCACACACCCACACATACTTATATTTGCTTAACTACCTTCAATTATTTTAATTAAATAGGGGGTTAATTTTTATGATGTTACAGATATAACCTACACAAAGAGAAAGTGAGTAGTTAAATGAATTAAATTCTTCTTTTGTTTGCAACTGACATAATCAGAGGTCTTGTAGGACATGTTTTCAAATTAGATATCACTTGCAAATACAAATATCATTGAAAAAAAAGAGCCAAGTTTCACATAAAACCCAAAAATCAAAGCGAAAATCAAATGAAGAAATCATTTGTGATTCGTATCGTAGTCAAGGTATGGGCCAGCCAGGATTGTTAGCCATGATACAACCGACAATGTTATGGAATTTGGGATTCCCATTTCCACTCCAACCGAAATCATGCAAGGAAGCCTAATGAAGAACTTTTCCTGAGTAATGGAAGGCGGGAGCAATGGGTCAAGATCGGTGACACTCTTGTTACCCGCAACGAGGAGTAGCAAGTGGTGCAGAGTGGGGGTGACAACAAATGGACTTCACATACGGATATGCAGCGTAAATGAAAAATGCAGTAGGAAACACCATAAGCACAGTTAGAAATTGGTGTAGGTTATGGCGTGAATGGAGTGGAAACAGAAGTTTGGATTCCACGAATGAGTACAGATAGGTGACACCAAGACGGAAACCATAAAACTTGGAGCCTACCAATGACCACAAACCTTGAGTGACAATTTGATACAATAACCGCACAAATGCGGAAAAAAACTTAAGGCTTTGAGGTGCCGTGCTCGGTTGACAAAGTTTAAGTACAGTGACTGGTTATTCTATGTCAGATTTAGATAGCAAATTGTTGGCGATTGACGGTGATAATAAAATAAGACAAAATTTAAAAAATTCATTAAAGCCACATATTATCAAGTTTAAACATTTAATTTTTGGGGTGATTCATGGTCAGAAATTTTTTGGGTTGATTGAAAATTCTAGGTTCATTCCTCGGGCTTTCTCGGCAACGCGCTCCTGACTTCACTCCCTTTCCATTTCCATGTTTGTTGCCACCCACCCACCCTATTTTATATTATTTTCCGTTTTGTCTTTTCTGTCCATAAAAATATAAATCTCACCCCGCTTTCCTTCGTCAGTGATTTCAAGCTCAAGTCCATGGCGTCTCAAGTCGAGCCCCACTTGGAACCCTGGCGCTCCCTGCATGGCAAAGTTGTCATGGTCACCGGCGCTTCCTCCGGTCTCGGCCGAGACTTCTGTCTCTCCCTCGCCAAAGCCGGCTGCAAGATCATCGCTGTCGCTCGGCGGGTCGATCGCCTTAAGTCCCTCTGCGATCAAATCAATCAATTCAGCTCTTCAGACGTCCAACCTGGGAGCATTCTTGCAGTGGCGGTGGAACTGGACGTGTCTGCCGATGGCCCCACCATCGACAAGTCCGTGCAGAAGGCGTGGAACGCGTTTGGCCGTATTGACGCGTTAATTAACAACGCCGGTGTTAGAGGTAATTATTCAGTTACCCGAATCAACTTTTTGTTTTGAAAAAATTTGAAGATTAAATATCTGGGCGAATTGTCAAGGGTCCTTGGGAAATTGGATCGCACAGGCCATTTTTATGTGATGTATCAACTGCCGTTATTTGTTGTATGCGGATCAATTTACTTCACATTTACTTTGATGGTCTTGTTCTGGCCTTGGTTTCCAAAACTATAAGGCTAATTTGTCTTAGTCACAGCTTGTAATTTATCATTTATGTGAAGGATTAGACTCCGCATAGTTATTTACATTTGAAATCCATGGCTACTTGCTATTTAAAATGTTTATAAGGTTTGTTGATGTTGTTATTCCTGGAGATGGATAAGGGGGTTATATTATTTAATAAACATTGATAGAACAGAAGTTGACATGTAAATTGTCTATTTCCTTTTTTCTTGCGCCGTGTAGGAAACGTTAAATCACCATTGGAGTTGTCTGAGGAGGAATGGAATCATGTTTTCAAAACAAACTTAACAGGATGCTGGCTGGTGTCCAAATCTGTATGCATACGCATGCGTGATGCACAGATAAAAGGCTCAATTATCAATATTTCTTCAATAGCTGGATTAAACCGTGGGCAACTGCCTGGAGCTACTGCCTATGCAACTTCAAAAGGTGGAGTAAATATGTTGACGAAGGTAATATCTTTTGGCATGCACAGTAACGGCATCAAACCCCCAAGTTTCCCTATTCCTCTCTGTCTTCATTTCTCTCTTGGATCTAAAAGTAATGCAGTCTGGATTATTAGAAGAAACAAAGACGTGGATTGGCGTTTAGTATATTAGGATATAGATGTAGAAGTTGGTTTTGATAAAAACAATGGTTGTCAGTATGATTTAGATGATGGCCGAAAATAAAAGGTGGTCTAGCCTAGCTTCATTACCTGAAATGTTTAGTGTCTGCAACAGTAACATCTACCATGTAGCTTAGCAATGTTTACGGAATGAAGGGTTAGAGCCAGCTGTTTTTAGCAAATGACCGGAGCTTAGGCTTGAGTTTGGTATTAGACTAAAAATGACCAAGACAGTTTGGTTGGCTTTAGATGAAGATTTTGGCAAACAGCGAATTTTGCAGGGCTTGTTTTAATTAAAATTCAGTATGATGCCTAAAAACAAGGAAATTGTTTGAATTGGGTGGGCTTCCATATTGCAGCTAAATGGTAAGGTAGATAATTATTCCTACACTTGTATTGTTCAGACCACCAATGGAATGCTTGAAAACTTGTCATCCCCAACCTACACGTCATTCCCACAGCTGTTATGTCCAGCAATCTTGGCACGAGGAATTTTGTACATCTAGATTTCGCTTGAAGGAACCATATTGAAATTAAATATATAGTTTTCTTGCTTTAATGAGGTTTTTAAGAAGTAGAAATGCAACTATTATTTTTTTAGATGGAAAAGTTTCGAAGATGGAAGTGGAAGCCCAACTCTGAATTGCTGATGTTATTACTGACTTCTTAGGCTTCTAGGCAGCATTTTGTTGACGTGTTAGGAGGATAAACAGGCGTGGAAGCTTTGAGTGATGGGGAAGAAATTCCTAGTCTTTTACTAATTAAGCTAGAGTGATGGAATATTCCACGTTTATATCATTTTTACTAATTTAGTCTTTTACAGATTCGTTCAAGATACGAGTAGTGAACAGTGAAATAGCATTTTTAGGACATCTCCATTATCCATCTAATCCCTTATTCCCTTATATTGTAACGGATTAATAATGACTAAACTATCCTAGATTTTTCTTCATGGCATATAGACAAAGGAAGTTCCTGGTCTGCTTTTATATCAACGACATTTTTAACCACTCGCAAATTTAGAATCTTTTTGAACAATGCACGGCTTTACTGTTCATGTTCACAATGACTGAAGTCATTTTCTGTGTGATATTGTTTGACAGGTGATGGCGTTGGAGTTGGGGGAATACAAAATCAGGGTGAATTCAATATCGCCTGGACTTTTCAAATCTGAAATCACTGAAAAGTTAATGGAGAAGGATTGGCTGAATAATGTGGCCCAGAAAACAGTGCCTCTGAGAAGATATGGTACCGCAGATCCAGCATTAACTTCGCTTGCGCGTTACTTGATTCATGAGTCCTCTGAATATGTATCGGGAAACAATTTCATAGTTGATGCTGGCGCCACCTTACCTGGCGTGCCTATTTTTTCCTCCCTATGAAGTACTGCGATCTTCTTTCAATTTTTTTTTTTAAAAGGGATGTTTACGGTTACCTATGTATATCTTGACCTTACTTAGGAAGGTGTAAATTTCCATGGTTTCTTTCAAGATTGTACCGACAGAAATGGAGAGGTTTGTAATTTATGGTGGCTGGAATGGGGTTTGAGCTTTTGGTGGGGGAAGATCTCAGAGCCCGCACAGCAGCTCTGTAGGAGTTTAGCTAGAAAAATTGGCTAATCTCTCATAGAGAAAAGGACCCAGTTGGAAAGCGGTTTCCGAACCATGTCTCGAGAACCCTGTTTTAAGACGATGTTGAAGAGCTTTCTGCAATGATATTGCTTTTCTGCTGGTTTTTTAAAAAAAAAATTTCTCCAAGATGCAATTATAAATCTTAGACAGAGTCGAGTATATGATATAAATTATTTGAATCTAGTTAGTTACACTCAAGTGGTATTTGATTAAAACCAAGTTTTGTTTGTTGAGAATAAGAAATTTAATCTCCGAGTATGGCGTTAACAAATCCAAGGAAAGCCAAGGGCGTTTAAGTTGTCCACAAGTTATCGTTTGGTGATTTGAACAAGTATAATCACACAAGACAATATAGAAGTTAACGCGCGCACGCATATTGGGATTAGATTTGCAAAATTCCACTGTGGAGAATTGGATTTCAAAAACCCTGAAGGATCCTCTTGAATGCAAACAGTGATACAAGGAAATCTCATAGGCAAATCAAGTACTCTTCCAAATAATTGCAGTATATATCATATTTACGAAAATATTTGCATGTATAGATAGGGGGAACACGCAGAGAGATTGTACGTTAAGACTTGAGAGAAGTAAATTTCAAATAAAATATCATTTCATTTTAGTTTTGTTGGGTAAGTATACGTGTATTATTTTTTAAATGTCCAATTGTATGATCGTATGTTAGCTCATGTAATTGAGAAGTCAACAGGAAGCCGGGAATTATCCCAAATTCTGTCATTTTACCAGCAAAAAAAAAAGACTTTTGAGGTAAATAATCGATTGGTGAAACAGAAATGCTTGACGCAGAATGGAAATGAAGCCCAAAAAACAGACAGTGGCATTGTGAGAATGAGACAAGCGAAAAAACCCTGAGAGGGAATTACAACAAGCATTGGCCCACTGATGATTTTATGTAGAGGACGAAATGCCAGCTGGAATAAGGGTCGGGTTTGACGGGCCGCCCGTTTAAGCCCGTTTTAATAAGGGTTCGAGCTTAAAAATTTGATATTTTTTAGGGTAACCGGGTTTTGAAGCCCAGCCCTTTTAAGCCCTAGAAAAATAGGCTCGGGTCCGGGCGGCTCGTGAAGCCCGTTTTATTATTCACAAAGTATTGTTTTCACCTCTTTCCAGATAATGTGCAAACATTAATTTGTATTTTGTATCAGCAATTGGTTGAATTGTTTTGTGCCATTTTATAGTAATTTTTATATTTTATCTTGTGATATATGTATAGATATATATTTGATAATAAAACAATTTAATTAATAATTATTATAGGTGATGATGAAAAAGTTGCAGAAATAATTAATATTGAGCTTCCGCCTCCATTTTTTACAAGTGGACCTACATTTGAGGGTTTTAATATTTTATTTATGGATGATAATGAGGGAGATCTTGATTAGGATTAATGATGATGTTTGTCTTCATCTTATTTGGACTTTTAAATTTTTTGTTCATTTTTTAGATTATGTGAGACTTTGGTTTGATATATGTTAAATTTTAAAATATTCTAAATAAATTTTAATGTTAAATTTTATTTTATTCTTATTCGGGCTTACGGGCCCGGCCCTGAGCCCTATGAATAAAGGCCAGGCTTCAATTTTAGAGTAAAATTGGGGTAACCGAACTTTAGGGTCTAGACCCACAAGGGCCGAGTCCATATGGGCTAGGCCCGTCCGTTTACCAACCCTAATGCCAGCTGGCTATTCTCCCATCAATTGAAATTCAAAATGTGGGGTGGCCTTCTGACAATTGACAAACATGAGTTGGTTATAATTATTTCACTAATGACAATGACAATAAATCTTAAGCTGCCAAATGCTCCATGTACCCCGCCTCCATTAAATCTTGATCAATGGGCGTCCGTGTAGCCCTGCCATTTTTGTTTTGTGAATGAGTGAATTCTGATACCACCAAACAATCAAAGCACTCTACTCCATTCGCTTCACTTCTTTCTTCATTCAGTGTTTCAATGTATTTCATCCATTCCAATGACCAAAAAATGACTTGACATGCACGTGCCACACTCAGCTGCATTTGTGTGTGTGTATTCATGTCCAAGCCTGCGAAGATGTTTTCAGATCCAAGGCAAAATTATTAATAAAACCTAACATGTGTAATTGTCCTTTCAAAAAAAAATACACTCATTATTTTTTACAAAATTATATATTAAAATTTTATAATATAGTGATTTTAATGAAATACGAAATTAATTTAATAGTGAAAATTAGTGTTGATAAAATGGTCCAACCCCATCTTATATATTGAGATAGAACATTAACAATGATATGGGATGGCAATACATTTTTAACAAAAAAGATATAATTAAGACTAATAATATCAATGATTAATATGAAAAATTAATAATTATTATACAAAATATAAAAAAGATTTTTAATAATGCTTAAAGTTATCACGTTGATGGTTTAAAACTACACAAAGTCTTGATATGAATATTTTTCAATGTTTTAGGTTTTAGAATAAGAAAAGGAGAAAATGAAAAGTGAGATTGTTAGAAAAAATTAATGCAAGCTAACATAATGCAAATAAGTATTTTATAGATCTCACTATCATTTTTTATGTAGATAATAAACTAAACTCAACAATTAATGTTATAATGGAAATAATTAGAACTTTTCAATAGAAAAAAACAATCAATACTTGTTATTCTCTTTCATCTACAAATAAATATATAATAATACAAATATCAATCACACATAATAGGGGTATTGATATTTTTTTTTTTGGAGGCCTAAGGCAATTGCCTTACTTGACTTTTGGCTTCCCCAGCCTTGTTCATATCCTCATCAGATTTCAATTTTTCCTTTTATTGAAATTAATAATCACAATAAAATATTGTCTGAAAATTAAAAATATGCCAGGAACTTGTTGTAAAGAACGAGGGACGACAAGATAAAAAAATTAACTTAAACATTTTTATCATGTATTTAAAACAAGTAAAACTTTAAAACTTTGATATATAATTGGGACGAGAGTGCGTTCGTTTCACACTCACGAGTCATGAGCATCGACCCTTCCAACATTTTTTTCAACAATATCAATTATATATGATTATGTGTTTGATATAAAAAGGAGATGGGAAAGATATACAACGGTGCAAGTACTATTATTACTTTCCGCCTCTATTGTAGCTTTTCTACTCTCCTCATAATCAACAAGCGTGCGTTAAGCATGTGCTGCTTCCAGAGCACACCCATCTCTGCCGATTTAGGAACTGCACGTAGTATGTGATCATTTTTTTTTTTTTTGACTTGAAGTATGTGATATGAGTCATCGATCTGAGTTTCAAGCTTGAACTTTAAAAAGTCCATTCTAGACAGAGGGAACGAGGATGTATATATTCTATTGGCTTTGAAGTTGAAGAACATATCTCCGAGGCAGACAGACAGACAGAAACGGCTAATGTTGAGAAGTGAGACCACAGTGACATGCATGTAATGTAACAGAGGGCCAGTGGAGATACTGTTTTTTTTTTTCCTCAATAATTTGCAGCTAACAGAATTATTTCCTTAGCCCCCAATACGTACACACACACACACACACATATATATAATCATCTCTTAAAGTACGTAAATTTAATGCCGTCTTTGGCTGTTTCTGAAGTCTCCATAATTCTGATGCATTTGTGGCCACACAGAAATGTTCCCTCTGCAACAAAAACAATTTCATAGGCAAGGGAGGGAAAGTATGTCCTCCTTGTATAAACTACAAGTTTCAAACATATCTGTATTCCGATCAATCAATCTGTACTGGAATATTAATTAAAAAAGAAAGAAAAACGAATCCTATTGACAATTCCTTGTTATAACTGCCTCTTTTAGCCCTTCACAGTACTGTATGTATCATTACAGTGTAACACCAAAATCTCAGAAGAAAAAGGGTTTTGTTAGCAGAGTGAGTAAGATGCCGAACTAAGTGGGGGTGTGACTGGAAAAAGCAGAATAAGAAATGAAACTCAGAGTGGGTCCTGCCTCATAATAACCACGGAGAAATTACGTGAGTGGGTACATATGATTCATGCTAAGCTTCATGATTAAAAGTGGAGAAGGAGGTTGAAAAATTTTATGCACATCGACGGCCCACAATTCATCTCAGCACACCCTTCCATTCCCACCGGAATTACTACATCGCAAACCCTTTTCAGATTATAGAAGAGGCCTGCATCTACCCCCCAGAAGACAGACGTACGTACATGAGCCTAGCAGCACTTTTTTGCAGAGATTTTTTAGCCTTTATTTGTGCTGCAGAACAGCAGAAATGTAAGTTTCACGGCAACGGGCTTGGTTCTTGCTCACGGAGAAAGCTATTATTCACTCCACTAAATAATAATGAAGATGACATTTGACTCGTGAAGGAATTCTGAATTATTTTATTGAGCATCCTAGAACTGAAGAAAATATTGTATGTATGTACTATAAATGAACAAACCCTTTCTTTTGGACAAGAGCTTGAAGAAAGAAAGACGATCACTATCCAAATTCATATCGCAGAATATTTGATATTATTTACATTATTGTAATTTTTTTTTTATGGGGAAGCCACATTATTGGCACCATTTCCATGCGTGCTATTCAAACAGACTTTCTTGTTAAAGACAGTGGGACTTAGCTAGATATAGAAAACCTGATGATGTGTGTGAGAATCTTGGAGGAAATCAGGACAAAGGAAGCATGCAGGCAAACGCGCATAAGCTAAATTAAAGCAAAAGCAGGCCAATATTCACTCAAACCAACCACCATATTTATAGCTACCTATAGCGTTCATCTTTCGGAGAGAAAAAATCTTTCAAAAAATAATTTTACTATATTCTCTCATCATCACCAAGATCATCTCAAATCTCAAACCTAATTTTGCATATACATCTGTAAATAACTTAACCGGAAAAGTCTTGCAGAGCACCGAAAATGCTCTTTGAAATATGAAATATGAAAGAAAGAAAGAACAAGAGGAGAAAGGAACTTGGATTGAGGACACAAAGCTGGATTGAGCGCGTCGGCTAACTTATCTGTTGTGTAGTGGATTTGGACCTGTGTAGACTTTTCTCTTATCAGCTCCAAAAATTT